CACGTTATCAAACTCAATTTAGCACTCATTTATAGAGAATTTGATGCTCTTTCCAACCATATATAATTTATTTTGATTTACTCAAAATTTAATGGAAGTATTGGCAATTGCTCCTAACTTTGTCAGAATTTTTTAAAAATTTAGATCTGAAAATTAAGATTTTCTTTTTGATTTTTTTTCTCTTTTGAAATCGAGATTTGGAAATGAAGTTAGAGTTTTTTTCGACTAATTTAGATTCGCTCTATCGATTGGAAAAGTCAAAATTCAAAAAATCTGAAAAATAAAAATTTCGATTTTTTCAAAGGGTCTAACCCCTTTGGATTTTAATTTCAAAATTTTCAAACTCAATTTTCTCGAAACCCGTGAAAGATTTTAGGTCCATTTTTTTTAAGGATTGTAGCCCTTAATGAGAGCTTTGGAATGGTACTTAGTTGAAGTCGCTGACATTTACGGTTTTTGAGAAAATCGAGTTTGAAGATTTTGACTAAATTTTAACTAAAATTCAACTTTGAGGCTCAATTGCTCTAAAAGTATTCACGTTATCAAACTCAATTTAGCACTCATTTATAGAGAATTTGATGCTCTTTCCAACCATATATAATTTATTTTGATTTACTCAAAATTTAATGGAAGTATTGGCAATTGCTCCTAACTTTGTCAGAATTTTTTAAAAATTTAGATCTGAAAATTAAGATTTTCTTTTTGATTTTTTTTCTCTTTTGAAATCGAGATTTGGAAATGAAGTTAGAGTTTTTTTCGACTAATTTAGATTCGCTCTATCGATTGGAAAAGTCAAAATTCAAAAAATCTGAAAAATAAAAATTTCGATTTTTTCAAAGGGTCTAACCCCTTTGGATTTTAATTTCAAAATTTTCAAACTCAATTTTCTCGAAACCCGTGAAAGATTTTAGGTCCATTTTTTTTAAGGATTGTAGCCCTTAATGAGAGCTTTGGAATGGTACTTAGTTGAAGTCGCTGACATTTACGGTTTTTGAGAAAATCGAGTTTGAAGATTTTGACTAAATTTTAACTAAAATTCAACTTTGAGGCTCAATTGCTCTAAAAGTATTCACGTTATCAAACTCAATTTAGCACTGATTTATAGAGAATTTGATGCTCTTTCCAACCATATATAATTTATTTTGATTTGCTCAAAATTTATTGGAAGTATTGGCAATTGCTCCTAACCTTGTCAGAATTTTTTTAAAATTTTGATCTGAAAATTAAGATTTTCTTTTTGATTTTTTTTCTCTTTTGAAATCGAGATTTGGAAATGAAGTTAGAGTTTTTTTCGACTAATTTAGATTCGCTCTATCGATTGGAAAAGTCAAAATTCAAAAAATCTGAAAAATAAAAATTTCGATTTTTTCAAAGGGTCTAACCCCTTTGGATTTTAATTTCAAAATTTTCAAACTCAATTTTCTCGAAACCCGTGAAAGATTTTAGGTCCATTTTTTTTAAGGATTGTAGCCCTTAATGAGAGCTTTGGAATGGTACTTAGTTGAAGTCGCTGACATTTACGGTTTTTGAGAAAATCGAGTTTGAAGATTTTGACTAAATTTTAACTAAAATTCAACTTTGAGGCTCAATTGCTCTAAAAGTATTCACGTTATCAAACTCAATTTAGCACTCATTTATAGAGAATTTGATGCTCTTTCCAACCATATATAATTTATTTTGATTTACTCAAAATTTAATGGAAGTATTGGCAATTGCTCCTAACTTTGTTAGGATTTTAAAAAAATTTAAACCTGAAAATTGAGATTTTCTTTTTGATTTTTTTTCTCTTTTGAAATCGAGATTTGGAAATGAAGTTAGAGTTTTTTTCGACTAATTTAGATTCGCTCTATCGATTGGAAAAGTCAAAATTCAAAAAATCTGAAAAATAAAAATTTCGATTTTTTCAAAGGGTCTAACCCCTTTGGATTTTAATTTCAAAATTTTTAAACTCAATTTTCTCGAAACCCGTGAAAGATTTTAGGTCCATTTTTTTTAAGGATTGTAGCCCTTAATGAGAGCTTTGGAATGGTACTTAGTTGAAGTCGCTGACATTTACGGTTTTTGAGAAAATCGAGTTTGAAGATTTTGACTAAATTTTAACTAAAATTCAACTTTGAGGCTCAATTGCTCTAAAAGTATTCACGTTATCAAACTCAATTTAGCACTCATTTATAGAGAATTTGATGCTCTTTCCAACCATATATAATTTATTTTGATTTACTCAAAATTTAATGGAAGTATTGGCAATTGCTCCTAACTTTGTTAGGATTTTAAAAAAATTTAAACCTGAAAATTGAGATTTTCTTTTGATTTTTTTTCTCTTTTGAAATCGAGATTTGGAAATGAAGTTAGAGTTTTTTTCGACTAATTTAGATTCGCTCTATCGATTGGAAAAGTCAAAATTCAAAAAATCTGAAAAATAAAAATTTCGATTTTTTCAAAGGGTCTAACCCCTTTGGATTTTAATTTCAAAATTTTTAAACTCAATTTTCTCGAAACCCGTGAAAGATTTTAGGTCCATTTTTTTTAAGGATTGTAGCCCTTAATGAGAGCTTTGGAATGGTACTTAGTTGAAGTCGCTGACATTTACGGTTTTTGAGAAAATCGAGTTTGAAGTTTTTCACTAAATTTTAATTAAAATCCAACTTTGAGGCTCAATTGCTCTAAAAGTATTCAAGTTATCGAACTCAATCTAGCACTGATTTATAGAGAATTTGATGCTCTTTCCAACCATATATAATTTATTTTGATTTACTCAAAATTTAATGGAAGTATTGGCAATTGCTCCTAACTTTGTTAGGATTTAAAAAAAATTTAAACCTGAAAATTGAGATTTTCTTTTTGATTTTTTTTCTCTTTTGAAATCGAGATTTGGAAATGAAGTTAGAGTTTTTTTCGACTAATTTAGATTCGCTCTATCGATTGGAAAAGTCAAAATTCAAAAAATCTGAAAAATAAAAATTTCGATTTTTTCAAAGGGTCTAACCCCTTTGGATTTTAATTTCAAAATTTTCAAACTCAATTTTCTCGAAACCCGTGAAAGATTTTAGGTCCATTTTTTTTAAGGATTGTAGCCCTTAATGAGAGCTTTGGAATGGTACTTAGTTGAAGTCGCTGACATTTACGGTTTTTGAGAAAATCGAGTTTGAAGTTTTTCACTAAATTTTAATTAAAATCCAACTTTGAGGCTCAATTGCTCTAAAAGTATTCAAGTTATCGAACTCAATCTAGCACTGATTTATAGAGAATTTGATGCTCTTTCCAACCATATATAATTTATTTTGATTTACTCAAAATTTAATGGAAGTATTGGCAATTGCTCCTAACTTTGTTAGGATTTAAAAAAAATTTAAACCTGAAAATTGAGATTTTCTTTTTGATTTTTTTTCTCTTTTGAAATTGAGATTTGGAAATGAAGTTAGAGTTTTTTTCGACTAATTTAGATTCGCTCTATCGATTGGAAAAGTCAAAATTCAAAAAATCTGAAAAATAAAAATTTCGATTTTTTCAAAGGGTCTAACCCCTTTGGATTTTAATTTCAAAATTTTCAAACTCAATTTTCTCGAAACCCGTGAAAGATTTTAGGTCCATTTTTTTTAAGGATTGTAGCCCTTAATGAGAGCTTTGGAATGGTACTTAGTTGAAGTCGCTGACATTTACGGTTTTTGAGAAAATCGAGTTTGAAGATTTTGACTAAATTTTAACTAAAATTCAACTTTGAGGCTCAATTGCTCTAAAAGTATTCACGTTATCAAACTCAATTTAGCACTCATTTATAGAGAATTTGATGCTCTTTCCAACCATATATAATTTATTTTGATTTACTCAAAATTTAATGGAAGTATTGGCAATTGCTCCTAACTTTGTCAGAATTTTTTAAAAATTTAGATCTGAAAATTAAGATTTTCTTTTTGATTTTTTTTCTCTTTTGAAATCGAGATTTGGAAATGAAGTTAGAGTTTTTTTCGACTAATTTAGATTCGCTCTATCGATTGGAAAAGTCAAAATTCAAAAAATCTGAAAAATAAAAATTTCGATTTTTTCAAAGGGTCTAACCCCTTTGGATTTTAATTTCAAAATTTTCAAACTCAATTTTCTCGAAACCCGTGAAAGATTTTAGGTCCATTTTTTTTAAGGATTGTAGCCCTTAATGAGAGCTTTGGAATGGTACTTAGTTGAAGTCGCTGACATTTACGGTTTTTGAGAAAATCGAGTTTGAAGTTTTTCACTAAATTTTAATTAAAATCCAACTTTGAGGCTCAATTGCTCTAAAAGTATTCAAGTTATCGAACTCAATCTAGCACTGATTTATAGAGAATTTGATGCTCTTTCCAACCATATATAATTTATTTTGATTTACTCAAAATTTAATGGAAGTATTGGCAATTGCTCCTAACTTTGTTAGGATTTAAAAAAAATTTAAACCTGAAAATTGAGATTTTCTTTTTGATTTTTTTTCTCTTTTGAAATCGAGATTTGGAAATGAAGTTAGAGTTTTTTTCGACTAATTTAGATTCGCTCTATCGATTGGAAAAGTCAAAATTCAAAAAATCTGAAAAATAAAAATTTCGATTTTTTCAAAGGGTCTAACCCCTTTGGATTTTAATTTCAAAATTTTCAAACTCAATTTTCTCGAAACCCGTGAAAGATTTTAGGTCCATTTTTTTTAAGGATTGTAGCCCTTAATGAGAGCTTTGGAATGGTACTTAGTTGAAGTCGCTGACATTTACGGTTTTTGAGAAAATCGAGTTTGAAGTTTTTCACTAAATTTTAATTAAAATCCAACTTTGAGGCTCAATTGCTCTAAAAGTATTCAAGTTATCGAACTCAATCTAGCACTGATTTATAGAGAATTTGATGCTCTTTCCAACCATATATAATTTATTTTGATTTACTCAAAATTTAATGGAAGTATTGGCAATTGCTCCTAACTTTGTTAGGATTTAAAAAAAATTTAAACCTGAAAATTGAGATTTTCTTTTTGATTTTTTTTCTCTTTTGAAATCGAGATTTGGAAATGAAGTTAGAGTTTTTTTCGACTAATTTAGATTCGCTCTATCGATTGGAAAAGTCAAAATTCAAAAAATCTGAAAAATAAAAATTTCGATTTTTTCAAAGGGTCTAACCCCTTTGGATTTTAATTTCAAAATTTTCAAACTCAATTTTCTCGAAACCCGTGAAAGATTTTAGGTCCATTTTTTTTAAGGATTGTAGCCCTTAATGAGAGCTTTGGAATGGTACTTAGTTGAAGTCGCTGACATTTACGGTTTTTGAGAAAATCGAGTTTGAAGATTTTGACTAAATTTTAACTAAAATTCAACTTTGAGGCTCAATTGCTCTAAAAGTATTCACGTTATCAAACTCAATTTAGCACTCATTTATAGAGAATTTGATGCTCTTTCCAACCATATATAATTTATTTTGATTTACTCAAAATTTAATGGAAGTATTGGCAATTGCTCCTAACTTTGTCAGAATTTTTTAAAAATTTAGATCTGAAAATTAAGATTTTCTTTTTGATTTTTTTTCTCTTTTGAAATCGAGATTTGGAAATGAAGTTAGAGTTTTTTTCGACTAATTTAGATTCGCTCTATCGATTGGAAAAGTCAAAATTCAAAAAATCTGAAAAATAAAAATTTCGATTTTTTCAAAGGGTCTAACCCCTTTGGATTTTAATTTCAAAATTTTTAAACTCAATTTTCTCGAAACCCGTGAAAGATTTTAGGTCCATTTTTTTTAAGGATTGTAGCCCTTAATGAGAGCTTTGGAATGGTACTTAGTTGAAGTCGCTGACATTTACGGTTTTTGAGAAAATCGAGTTTGAAGTTTTTCACTAAATTTTAATTAAAATCCAACTTTGAGGCTCAATTGCTCTAAAAGTATTCAAGTTATCGAACTCAATCTAGCACTGATTTATAGAGAATTTGATGCTCTTTCCAACCATATATAATTTATTTTGATTTACTCAAAATTTAATGGAAGTATTGGCAATTGCTCCTAACTTTGTTAGGATTTAAAAAAAATTTAAACCTGAAAATTGAGATTTTCTTTTTGATTTTTTTTCTCTTTTGAAATCGAGATTTGGAAATGAAGTTAGAGTTTTTTTCGACTAATTTAGATTCGCTCTATCGATTGGAAAAGTCAAAATTCAAAAAATCTGAAAAATAAAAATTTCGATTTTTTCAAAGGGTCTAACCCCTTTGGATTTTAATTTCAAAATTTTCAAACTCAATTTTCTCGAAACCCGTGAAAGATTTTAGGTCCATTTTTTTTAAGGATTGTAGCCCTTAATGAGAGCTTTGGAATGGTACTTAGTTGAAGTCGCTGACATTTACGGTTTTTGAGAAAATCGAGTTTGAAGTTTTTCACTAAATTTTAATTAAAATCCAACTTTGAGGCTCAATTGCTCTAAAAGTATTCAAGTTATCGAACTCAATCTAGCACTGATTTATAGAGAATTTGATGCTCTTTCCAACCATATATAATTTATTTTGATTTACTCAAAATTTAATGGAAGTATTGGCAATTGCTCCTAACTTTGTTAGGATTTTAAAAAAATTTAAACCTGAAAATTGAGATTTTCTTTTTGATTTTTTTTCTCTTTTGAAATCGAGATTTGGAAATGAAGTTAGAGTTTTTTTCGACTAATTTAGATTCGCTCTATCGATTGGAAAAGTCAAAATTCAAAAAATCTGAAAAATAAAAATTTCGATTTTTTCAAAGGGTCTAACCCCTTTGGATTTTAATTTCAAAATTTTCAAACTCAATTTTCTCGAAACCCGTGAAAGATTTTAGGTCCATTTTTTTTGGTATTGTAGCCCTTAATGGGAGTTTTGAAATGGTGCTTAGTTGAAGTCGTTGGCATTTACGGTTTTTGAGAAAATCGAGCTTGAAGTTTTTGACTAAATTTTAACTAAAATCCAACTTTGAAGCTGAATTGCTCTAAAAATATTCAGGTTATTAAACTCAATCTAGCACTGATTTATAGAGAATTTGATGCTCTTTCCAACCATATATAATTTGTTTTGATTTGTTCAAATTTCTTCGAAGATATTGGCCATTATTCCTAACCTTGTCAAGATTTTAAAAAAAATTCCAGAACGAAAATTGTGATTTTTTAGCTTTTTGAATTCGCCATTTTGAAAGTGATGTTAGAATTTTTTTCGATTAATTTAAAACCGCTAAATAAATTGGAAAAGTCAAAATTTTGAAAATATGATTGGTTTGACTGAAATCCATAAGCAACGCCACTGGCCAAACAAAATACATGTTGCCAACTTGAAAAATAACCGGCCAATAGCAACAAGAGCCTGGAATAAACAGAAATTGAAATATAGAAAGGGAAACATATATAAATAGGTATATCAAAAGAACAAATACAAATTTATATAAAAATTAAAGGACCTCCTCACACACCACTTATGGGTATTTGGTTTTCTGTCAAACAAATGAAATTTGTATAATGAAGTAAAATTTTAATACATTACGAGGGATGTTTATAAAGTGTATGCCATTGTTAAAAATATTCAAAATTTATGAAATTTCAAAATCACCAGAAATTGCTATTTTTCAAAAAAATTTTGACCAATCACCAGATTTTTCATAAAATCACCAGATCTGGTGAAATTTCACCAGACCTGGCATCACTGATGATGTTACCCCCTCGGTTTTTACTTCCTGGACGTCGTGTTTAACTTCTTGCACATCGTCTTTAACTTTTTTAATCTTCTGGTCTAGGTTAGCGACAGTTCCTTGTATGGTTTGGAATATCTTCTGTAGTTTTCCAAGGTCTTCTTGCCGTTCTTGTTGTCGTCTAGCTTCTTCTTCTTGTTTTTCTTGTTGTCGTTTGGTCTCTTGAAGTTCCAACATTTTGCGCAGAAGTTCTTCAACTTTTTGTTCGTCCATTTTGGCTTGTTGTCTTGTGATAGGCATATACAGAATGTTCTAGAATTTCCCTCGATTTTTCTTCAAATATCTTTTCTGGTCTTTGCTCGAAGTTCCAAACACGCCGGTGAAGTCACAAATTGGATAACTTGCTTTATTCTAGAATAGAATGTTCTGGAATTTTCTTGAAACTTCTTTTCTAGATGTCGATTGATACAGCAAATACGTCGGTGAAGTCACAATTTCGATATCTCCCTTAGTTTCCAAATAGAATTTTCTAGAACTCACTCGAAGATTCACTATCACAGTCTAAATCGGGTATAGAGTCACTTCCGGGGTAATTCACACGATCGGTTAAGTCTCTTTTTGTGATTGTCACTATTTGCACTGCATTAACTGTCCCAGTGTTCACGTAGTGTTCAGTTTTTATACTACACTAGTGCACTTCCGTAATTGGATTTCACTCTGCAGTCCTTTATATCCCACTCCTGACACCACTGTCGCGGCTTTGGGTTGCCTGCTGACAAAAATCTTGGGTTCGTTGTTCGTTTCGTTTATTCCAAAAATCAAAGTCCAATTAACACAGCAATAATTTATTCCACTTAACAAAACACTCTGACACTAATTACTTTATTAAAAAACTCAACAATTAAACTCTTTACAATCACTATTTAAATCGTATCACGGCCGGCCTTCTTATATATCCCTAAATCTATTCCTGTGAAATCTAGAATACACACGATAATCTAATTTTCCAGATTAAAGTAGAATAATTCGCTAGATTCTAGTATTTCCACGATCGATTCTTGACAGCCTGGCGGACGTTTAGCTTATTGTGACAGTATTTTTTGCTAATCTAATAAAACTAATAATAATTAATTAAACCCAATAATAATATGTAATATATTTAGAATAAACAAACTTTTAGTAATTTGTACAAAACAATTTCAATAAACTATTACATCAGGACCGATTCTTTTAACCAAGGCCAGAGAGCTGAACTAGCATATAGACTAGCCAAACAACCTTCCAAACGAAAAAACATTGATTAAAGCCTAAAAAAACGATTTCAGTTGTAAATAAATTCAGACAGGAAAAAGCCTCGCGTTCGTTGTGTATAGAAAAATAGTAAATTTAGTTGCCAATGACCAACCTCTATCCAACAATAATTTTAATCTTATTACAAAACAAAAAAATAAACAAAATACCCTTTAGCCGTTAGTTTTGCAAAAGTTATATGACATTAACAGATGCCTGATTTTTAAGGAAGAATTTCAAATTTTTAATGAAAATTGATCGATTACATATGCAATACATATTATCAATTTTCATTTATCAATAAAATTTAAATAACAACAAAAATTGGAATGTCAAAAATATCACGTTTTAAAAACCGACACCTGATTCAAATAAATTCTATAACCAGGGATATGTGGACCTTTTTTTTTTGGAACCCAGCTCTATTTATTTGTATTATTTTTGTTGAATTGTAGAGTTAATAAGTGTCTAGGCGGCACAACCAATAATCTACTATATATATATTTTTTTTTCAAATAGTAGTAAGTATATACGGAGTGATCACTAACTTCATCGAGAAAGGATTTTCTCATAATAATTGAAGCTTGAGCTTTTTTTTAATCTTAAATAATAAAAATGATAAGTAATCACTAACCTACATTTCTTAGCTGCCACAAGAGAGCTGTCAAATTAAACCATCATCAGTTTACGGAGAAAAACCTCCTCGACTGATTGGCAATAGGAGTAGTGTCACTACTTCCTATGATTCTTATAATAAATTGTATAAAAAATAAACTTAAGTTGTCATTAAAGCACTTAATTGCTATTTTTTTTTTTTTTCAGTATTGAAAATATAATTTATATATTATGTTTTATTGTTTAGCTTATCAAAATAATAATAATAATGAAATATAGAGTAGGATTTCAGATACACAGTGCACACTGATAAAAATTAGGATACAGAAAACTTCACACCCTTGCTTATCTTTGTATAGAGGAAAAGTGTTTAGGTAGTGGAAATACTTAATTGTGGCTGTTGTTTGACGACAGAGGAAGAAGAAATCGAATTTTGGTATTTAATTTCATGTATCGTTATTTAGTTAAGTTTGTTCCATTAAAAATCACAAATACCTCTGTAAGATTTTTTCGGCACTGTAATCATTATCAACATAACATCAACTGTTTCAAAAATGTATAACTTGTATAATAAAGTAGCAACAAAGCTTTAATAAAATAACAATAAAGCTATTTTTTAAGTACTATAACCTAGCTAAACCTATGTAAAAAATAAAGTTACGTTCTTTCGAAACTATATACAAAATATATAAAAAAGAAAATACAAACGAAAAATTTAAGAAAAATGTATAAAGTAGTTTTTTTTTTTCATTTAGCCTGCATCTTAGGGATGGAAATAAAGTATTTTCTTGTCTATACCCACAATCAAATAATCTATGATACTTTGAAGGGAAATATAAACTTTTAGGACAAATTTTTGTCTAGATGCAAACTCATCGAGAATCTTATTTTTTTTTTTTGCAAGAATAATATCATAAAAATATATATAAATATCAAAATCCTCATTATTGTCAAATATTAATTATTGTTGGTCGCACGCGCCTAACTCTACATGGGCGAATAAAAATGTTGATACATCGGTACAACATTGGCACTAGCCGAACCGGTACTCGTAGCCGCTGAAGGCACGTAAGCTCTTTTAGCCGTAGCCGCTTGCTCCTGGAAAGCATCGCCGTAGCTCCTTTTCATAGACGCATGGGGTACCATCGGTAACAAACCCGGTGTCGGAGGAAACTGTGGACCAAGCAGACCAAAATAAGGCGACATAGGCCCACAATTTCTAGAAAAATACGCGGGAAGGCGGGGCAAGAAAGCGACATAAGGATTCTGAGCAGGCATCATGTGAATAAATTGTTGTAACCCTGGCATGCACCCGGCAGGACTACCCGGTGGAGGTTTGGCGGCGGCGTTTCCAGGAGACAACGGCGACGGTAGCATGGCTAAATTGCCTTGCGAGTGAGCGATTTGATTCATGAGCAACATTTCGCTTTGAGCGTGCGCTTGCGTTTGACGCGCAATTAAATTTTGCTGCGCGATCATTTGCGCTTGTTGTTGCGCTTGCAATAGAGCGGGGTCCCAAAGGGCCGATTGGGTCGCGGAAGGGGGAATATGAGTGGGCGCTGGTGCTGTTGCTTTGGCCGGCGACGTTGGAGCTGGTAAACCTAATTATCGAGAAAAACGAATTTCAAAAATCGATTGATAATAATTGTTGATTGAGTTGTTGCTTACAAAACTTACCTCCAGTAAGCACCAGGTTCATATCTTCTCCGGAACATTGGAACACTTCAATGTAACTTTGCTTCTTTCCGAAGATCATGTACCTGTGGTGCTTCTGTTGAGCTGTGACGAATGCCGACTGTTCAGAATCCATTTGTATGAAAGCTTCACCACTAGGCTGACCCTAGAAATTTAAAATCAATGAGTACTTTTATAACAATCATATCGGCGAATTGAATAGCCGATGTCAAATCAATATTTTGGTGCAATTGAATATGAACAAAGAATATTATAGACTAACGTCTCTAGAAGAACCGTCCGGCGGCGAAAATATAAACCTGCGTGATGGCGCTAGTGTCCTAGTAAAATCAGTCGTTTCTGCGATTAAATTAATTTGTAGCACTAAATGCACGCGTATTTGCTAGGCTGCGTTGCCAAGTTGTCTTTTGTATAACAAATTAAATGCCTGTGTTTTATATAGGTACTTATTATACATATACCTACCATAGAATAAGAATATTTTATAATTTAAAAAAAATAATAAATAGGTAAATAGTTATGTATTTTCGTGGATAGTAATTTTCTATTACTAATAAATAGAGGTATAAAACATAAAAATTGTTTCTGTCTGTCTGTGTGTCCACCTATGTCCGTTATAGACTTTGAAACTATCCGATCGATGTACTTCAAACCAGTTTAATGTTTAATATGAAAAGCAATAATGATAAGAAGGTTTTAGACCGCTAATGACAGGTGTCAACTGTCAAATGTGACAGGTGCAGATTTTTGAACCATTATTTCGCAACGAATTTTGCTGAAATTTTGCATACATTTTATGTTCGGATGATAATACATTTTAAACCACTAATGACAGGTGTCAATTGTCAAATGTGACAGATGCGGATTTGTGAACCATTTCTTCGCAATACATTTTGCTGAAATTTTCCATACAGTTAAAGTTCGGATAATAATACAATTTGGAATATTCAACAGCTGTCAAATGTAATTTTTGACAGCTGTCAAAATATGACGGGTCGAGAGGTGGGCAGGTTGTCAGGACTACCGTTTCATCTAATTTTAGACAATTTTGCACACTTGAAAATTTTTTTTCCTACAAGCGTGCGCAAAGAAGTACTTTTTCGCACGCATTTCCGTTCTCAAAGTTACACTTTTCCGCAATCAGTGCGGATAAGGCCTGTATCCGCACTGAGTGCGGAAAAGTAAAAATAATTGTCAAGCAACAATAAGTGCACCTGTCGACTTTGACACATGATGACAAATTTTTCCTCTGTTTCTATATCAGCCAACATAGGCCAGTAAAACTAGGGGTCAAACCCGAAACAAATTTGGGACAAGCTGAAATTTTCAGGAAACCTTTTTTAGGTGGTCGACAATGTTTCCTTAAAAATCGCACTAAATCGCATGTGCCGTACTCGCCCAATCGGGCTTTAAACTCAAAAAATTGTGCTTTTTTTATTTCTTTGGAAATATATCAAAAACTATGAACTTTTTTGAAAAATTACAAGACAGCAAAATTGTTGCCAATAAAAATACCTACAAAATCATTTTTTGTTTTTGAAAATCGGTCCAAAAACAAGAAAGTTATGAGCTTATAAAAATTGGGCGAATTGGGCTTCGATTCTATTAAACTGCTTTTGGCAAATTCGACTTTGTTAACGCTGACGCAAATTAATTGAATGTTTTTCATAAAGGAAATATAGTATGTATTTGTCATATAAAACCAGTGTGTAAAATTGTATATAAATGTTTTAGGTGTGATTTAATATTTTAGGTAATGGGCTGAACGCAAAAATAACTAAATAATACTCTTGCCAAAATGTACTGCTACTTACTTGAAAAAAAAAAAAAATAAAAATAATTTTGGACCTGTCAAAAAATGACATTTGAAAAAAAAAAAATCATATTGGACCTGTCAAAAAAAAAATGACACAAAAAAAATTATAGGTGTCATTGGACCTGTCAAAAAAAAAAATCATTTAAATTTTTTTATTTTTTCTATAGGATTGGACCTGTCAAAAAATGACGTTTGAAAAAAAATATTTTTTTTTAAGTTTGAACCTGTCAAAAAATGACATTTAAAAAAAAAATTCATATCATTGTATCTGTCAAAAAAAAAGACATTTGAAAAAAAAAAAAAAAAAATTATATTATTGGACCTATCAAAAAAAAAAAGGACACACTTGAAAAAAAAAAAAATAATTTACTTATAGGTGTCATTGGATCTGTCAAAAAAAAATAATACATTTGAAAAAAATATTTTTTTTTATAAGATTGGACCTGTCAAAAAATGAGGTTTAAAAAAAATATTTTTTTTTTCATAAGTTTGGACCGGTCAAAAAATGACATTTGAAAAAAAAATAAAATTCATATTATGTATTGGACCTGTCAAAAAAAAATGACACTTGAAAAAAAAAAAAAAAAAATTTATAGGTGTCATTAAACCTGTAATTTGGATTTTTTTTTTATAGGATTGGACCTGTCAAAAAATAACGTTTGAAAAAAAATATTTTTTTTTAAGTTTGAACCTGTCAAAAAATGACATTTAAAAAAAAAATTCATATCATTGTACCTGTCAAAAAAAAAGACATTTGAAAAAAAAAAAAAAAAACACACATTATTGGACCTATCAAAAAAAAAGGACACACTTGAAAAAAAAAATAATAATTTATAGGTGTCATTGTATCTGTCAAAAAAAAAAAATACATTTGAAAAAAATATTTTTTTTTATAAGATTGGACCTGTTAAAAAATAACGTTTAAAAAAAAAAAAAAAATTTTCATAATTTTGGACCGGTCAAAAAATGACATTTGAAAAAAAAAAAAATTCATATTATGTATTGGACCTGTCAAAAAAAATGACACTAAAAAAAAAAAAAAAATTTATAGGTGTCATTAAACCTGTAATTTGGATTTTTTTTTTTTATAGGATTGGACCTGTCAAAAAATGACGTTTGAAAAAAAAAAAAAATTTTTTTTATAACTTTGGACTTGTGAAAAAAATGACGTTTGAAAAAAAAAAAAAATTTTTTTTATAACTTTGGACTTGTGAAAAAAATGACGTTTGAAAAAAAAAAAAAAATTTTTCATATTATTGGACCTGTCAAAAAAAAATGATACTTGAAAAAAAAATAATTTATAGGTGTCATCGGACCTGTAATTTGAAATTTTTTTTTTTTATAGGATTGGACCTTTCAAAAAATGACGTTTGAAAAAAAAAAAAAAATCATATTGGACCTGTCAAAAAAAATGACACTTAGAAAAGAAAAAAAAATTCATGTGAATTTTTTTATTTTTTTTATAGGATTGGACCTGTCAAAAAATGACGTTTGAAAAAAAATATTTTTTTTTAAGTTTGGACCTGTCAAAAAATGACATTTAAAAAAGAAAAAATTCATATCATTGTATCTGTCAAAAAAAAAGACATTTGAAAAAAAATATAAAAATTCATATTATTGTACCTGTCAAAAAAAAATGACACTTGCAAAAAAAATACAAAATTTTATAAGTGTCATTGGACCTGTCAAAAAAAAAAATTTCATTTGAAAATTTTTTTTTTTTAAATAGAATTGGACCTGTCAAAAAATGACGTTTGAAAAAAATAAATAAATTCTATAAATTTGGACCTGTCAAAAAATGACATTTGAAAAAAAAAAAAATTTTTTTGTTCATACTGTATTATAAAAAAATGACACTTGAAAAAAAAACAAAAAAAATATAGGTGTCTTTGGACCTGTCAAAAAAAAAAATACGTTTGAAAAAAATTTTTTTTTTATAGGATTGGACCTGTCAAAAAATGACATTTGAAAAAAAAAAAATTTTTTTATAACTTTGGACTTGTGAAAAAAATGACGTTTGAAAAAAAAAAAAAACTTTTTCATATTATTGGACCTGTCAAAAAGAAATGATCCTTGAAAAAAAAATAAAAAAATAATTTATAGGTGTCATCGGACCTGTAATTTGAAAAATGTTTTTTTTTTATAGGATTGGACCTGTCAAAAAATGACGTTTGAAAAAAAAAAAAATCATATTGGACCTGTCAAAAAAAATGACACTTAGAAAAGAAAAAAAAAATTCATTTGAATTTTTTTTATAGGATTGGATCTGTCAAAAAATGACGTTTGAAAAAAAATATTTTTTTTTTTAAGTTTGGACCTGTCAAAAAATGATATTTAAAAAAGAAAAAATTCATATCATTGTATCTGTCAAAAAAAAAAGACATTTGAAAAAAAAAAAAAATCATATTATTGTACCTGTCAAAAAAAATGACACTTGCAAAAAAAAATACAAAATTTTATAAGTGTCATTGGACCTGTCAAAAAAAAAAAATTTCATTTGAAAAAAATTTTTTTTTAATAGAATTGGACCTGTCAAAAAATGACGTTTGAAAAAAAAAAAATCATATTGGACCTGTCAAAAAAAATGACACTTAGAAAAGAAAAAAAAATTCATTTGAATTTTTTTATTTTTTTTATAGGATTGGACCTGTCAAAAAATGACATTTAAAAAAGAAAAAATTCATATCATTGTATCTGTCAAAAAAAAAAAGACATTTGAAAAAAAAAAAAAAAATTCATATTGTTGTACCTGTCAAAAAAAAATGACACTTGCAAAAAAAAATACAAAATTTTATAAGTGTCATTGGACCTGTCAAAAAAAAAAATTTCATTTGAAAAAATTTTTTTTTTTTAAATAGAATTGGACCTGTCAAAAAATGACGTTTGAAAAAAATAAATAAATTCTATAAATTTGGACCTGTCAAAAAATGACATTTGAAAAAAAAAAATTTTTTTTGTTCATACTGTATTATAAAAAAATGACACACTTGAAAAAAAAACAAAAAAAATATAGGTGTCTTTGGACCTGTCAAAAAAAAAAATACGTTTGAAAAAAAATTTTTTTTATAGGATTGGACCTGTCAAAAAATGACATTTGAAAAAAAAAAAAATTTTTTTTATAACTTTGGACTTGTGAAAAAAATGACGTTTGAAAAAAAAAAAAAACTTTTTCATATTATTGGACCTGTCAAAAAGAAATGATCCTTGAAAAAAAAATAAAAAAATAATTTATAGGTGTCATCGGACCTGTAATTTGAAAAATGTTTTTTTTTTATAGGATTGGACCTGTCAAAAAATGACGTTTGAAAAAAAAAAATCATATTGGACCT